ATTGACACAAATGTGAGGGGGGGGGGGGGGTGGGGGGGGGGGGGGGGGGGGGGGGAGGGGGGGACTCACTTCTGGGAGATACTATATATATACAGTATATAGTAATAAAATTTTTTTTAACATTTGTATAAATATGAATAGAAAGGACCAAAAACATTTAAATTTTCCCTTTAATATATAACATATCAAGACATGATGCATATGACTGCTAAATATCAATTTGTAATTGATGTATTAAATATAAATACCCTGCTCAAAAAAATTAAAGGAGACTTTGTAATCAGAGTATAGCAAGTCAATGAAAGTCCTGGGATATGGATCTGGTCAGGTAAGTCGCAGAGGGGGTTGTTCATCAGTTTCAGCTGCTTTGGTGTTCATGAAAATAACAACAGGTGCACTAGATGGGCAACAATGAGACGACCCCAAAACAGGAATGGTTTTACAGATGGAGGACACTGACATTTTTTTCCTACTCATCTTTTCTGACTGTTTTTCACTAGTTTTGCACTTGGCTCGGGTCAGTGTCACTACTGGTAGCATGAGGCCATACCTGGACAAAACAGGGGTTGCACAGGCAGTTCAACTGTATCTGCTCCTTTGTGCAAGGAGGAACAGGATGAGCCCTGCCAGAATGCTACAAAATGACCTCCAGCAGGCCACTTGTGTGAATGTCTCTGACCAATCAGAAACAGACTTCATGAGGGTAGCCTGAGGACCTGATATCCTCTAGTGGGCCCTGTGCTCACTGCCCGACACCATAGAGCTGGATTGGCATTGGCCATTGAACCCCAGAATTGGCAAGTCCACCACTGGCACCCTGTGCTTTTCAAAGATGAGAGCAGGTTCCCCCTGAGCACATGTGACAGACGTGAAAGGGTCTGGAGAAGCCATGGAGAATGTTCTGCTGCCTGTAACATGGTTCAGCATGATCATCTTGGTGGTAGTGGGTCAGTGATGGTCTGGGGAGGCATATCTATGGAGGGACTCACAGACCCCAGGACACCATCCATCGTCTCGTTAGGAGCATGCCCCAAATAATGATTGTCTGAACACACCCCCCTATTGGGTTCGTGGTAGAGCATTCAAACTTAAAGAAAGTTCTACCGCGAACATCGAACATAATGCAAGTCTATGGGACTCAAACTTGTAAATTCAAAAGTGCCCATTTTGAAGGCTTATATACAAGTTATTGGCCATAAAAGGGGTATGGGGACTCAGGTACTGTCCTGAGGGATATGAATCAGTGAAAAAAACATCTGATAGGTCTGATAGGAAGGTTAGGATGGACCCCACAGTAAAAAAACACTTTTTTTAAAGTGTGTGGGATTCCCCCTAAAAGCCATACCAGGCCTTTTAGGCCTGGTAGGACATTAAAGGGGGAACCCACCCTCCAAAAAATGGGGGTGGGGGGGAAAGCATGGGGTCCCCCCATAAATTTTTATTAGACTCTTGATCTGAGCACAGGCCAGGCCAGGAAAGGGGGGGGTTAGCCCCCACGCCGGGCCTTACCAGGCCACATGCCCTTGGCATTGGGACAATGTACCCATACAGATAAGGACAAGGTCCTCTTCCCCACAACCCTGGCCGGTGGTTGTAGGAGGTCTGCAGGTGAGGGGGCTTATCGGAATCTGGAAGCTCCCTTTTACTAGGGGCCCCCAGATAAAGCCCCAACTCCATGTGAAGTATGGGGTACATGGTACTGTTACCCATTCACCATTTTTATTACCTGCAAAAAAACGTGCATTTATTATTTTTGTCAAAAAGGTGAACTTATCCTTTAACACCTACTTAAGGGACTTTAAATAACCACAATGTATAAATCTAAAGATAAAATTACATTTGTAAGCTTCATGTGACACAAAATGTATTTAATGAAAATCCACGGTAAAGCTATTATGCAAAAATAAATGTGCTAAACAAAGAACAAAGACATTTTAATAACATTTAATAGAGTATAGCATCTTTTTTTTCAAGTTAATAACAGAAAAACAGACAGTGCACAATGTATTAGAATATCAGATGTCCATCCAGTGTATAATATCTCCGATATCTAGGAATCTGTAACAATTCTCTATGTGTTTAACCCCTTACTTCACCTGAAATCCTGGACAACCAATGGTGACATGTTACGTTGACACCAGGGGCGGACTGACCATTTGGAAACTCAGGCACGGGTCAGTAGGGGGCCCCATGAGATGCCCCTGGTACCTTTTTCATATGCTTTTTTGAGTTTGGGTAAGGACACAGGAGCCCCATGATCCCCTATTGCCCGGGGGCCCCATAAGTTGTCAGTCCGCCCCTGGTTGACACATTTTATTTTTTGTCTTAGTTAAAACAAACAGTTACAGTATATGTAATGTCTGGTCAGGAGAGCATTTTATACAAGTATATTTATAAGTCCCCAAGTCTGGCCAGCAGAACTGTGAATCAGGCTACAGCTCTTCACCTGGGCTACCTCATTGTGTCAATACATTTTCTTTTCCATTTGGTTCCCGGAATTCTTTAAACACTCCAAATCACCAGTACACTTAAATCCTATACATTATAAAGAGAGATTAGCATCTTGTTTCTTGCCAGAAGCACTGGAGGATATAGCATAGGCATCAGCAGAAAATGCACAGTACCACTTCTCTCTCTCTCCCCATTTGTGAGATCATTGGACATCTCATTGCAAACCATGGCCATTAATATAGACCTGTCCTCCCTTTGCAGCTAGACCGGCTTCCACTCTTTTGGGAAGATCTTCCACAAGATTTTGGAGTGTGTCTGGGGGATTTTGTGGCTATTCAGCCAAAAGAAAAACAATTGTGAGGTAAGGTATTGATGTTGGAGGGCAAGACCTGGCATGCAATGGTTGTTGCAATTCAACCCAAAAGTGTTCAGTAGAGAGAAGGTCGGGGCTCTGTGCAGAACACTCAAGCTTCTCCACAGTAAACTCATCAAACTATGAGCTGGACTGAGCTCCTGGTACACAGGGACACCATTAAGGGACTCAGAAAAGGGTCTTCACTAAACTGTGACCACAAGGGTGGAAGAGCACAATTGTCTAAAACCACGGTTCCTCCAGAGGGGTTCCTTGAGCAATGAGCCATTTCTGCCTCTCAGATAAGTTCCCGCTGACTCCATTGATCTTTTTAGCCATCTGTAAGGGGTTATTCTTCACAATGACCACAAGAGTAAGGAGAATTCTTCCTGCTGACCATCATGCTATTGTACTGTAGGTTTTAGCTGGAGTTCCCTGAGACCAGAACAGTATTTCCAGAGTTTCTTAGAGTGTTGTAAAGGTTGAGAAGGGGTGGTCTAAAATGTCTTTGTGGACTTGGACTTTGTTTAACTTGAAGGGGATTCTGTGTATTTTTGGCCATATTGTCATCTATCTATCTATCTATCTATCTATCTATCTATCTATCTATCTATATCTATCTATCTATTATCTATCTATCTATCTATCTATCTATCTATCTATCTATTATTTATCTATCTATCTATCTATCTATCTATCTATCTATCTATCTATCTATCTATCTATCTATCTATCTATCTATCTATCTACCCAGCCTTTCACAAGCAGGGTTCCATGATTAGGGTTCTTTCTGGGGCTGCAAGACTTTCCTCATAAAGTGAGCAATAGAGAGTACATCTCCCACCTACAGATACCACCAATGTATGATGGCTAATGTTGAGGAACACCACCATTTAAGTTGTCAATGTATTGTTCTCTTAATAATATTCATTTCATTTCAAGGATATTACTAAAAATGATGTTGCATTATAGAGCAGAGGCATATAAAATAGTATCTCCCGTGTCAAAAATCATAGATATGTTACATTACAGTATTATTCTTCAAAGCTGGACACTAAACATTGTTTTGGCTATTGCTTTAGTGCCATGCCTTTGTGGTTGTAGAAATCTTTCCAGTGATGGCAGGTCCTCTTCACAGTCCTGAACTTCTGGTGCTAAATGGGCCTTGGGTCTAACATTGCAGTACACTGAAGAAGTCCCAACAGCCTCCCATCCCTTTCCATCCCCTCCTCAATAAAAAGTGCTTGTATTGTTTTCACTGAATATAAAATTCTCTCAGAATGGGGGTTTGGATGGATGGAAGACAGGATTCCCCTCCTCCACTCTCAGAAAGGGTTACATTCTGTGAATATAATACAAGGACTTTTCTGAATGGAGCACAGGACAGAAAGGAACAGGAGGCCGTCAGGACTTCTTCAATGTACCTCAGTGTAAGATATAGCTAATTAACCTACATAGTGCCAAAAGTTTAGGGCTGTGAGCAGGACCTGTCATCACCTGAGAGATTTCTACATGAAGGAGCAATGAGCAGGACATAGGATACACTTCATTACAGGTAAGGTGTGTAACAAACTTTCTACAACATATTGTGAATTGATAACGCTGATGTACCATGAGCTGTTGATAGAATCATTTTAGCAGGAGTGTTATGAGACCGGAAAAGAGTCCCTAAGAGGTAGCTGAGAAAAGATCTATCTATCTATCTATCTAAAAAAAAAAGTCCTGGATCTTCTTTCTTGGATACACAGAATATAACTGGATCAGGGACGGACTGACCATTTGGAAACTCAGTAGGGGGCCCCATGAGATGCCCCTGGTTCCTTTTTAATAGGCTTTTTTGAGTTTGGGCAAGGACACAGGGGCCCCATGATTCCCTATTGACCGGGGGCCCCATGAGTTGTCAGTCCGCCCTTGAACTGGATATAACATTTATAGGGAAAGTTGATCCAGGGAATATCCGATTGCCTCTCGGGGGATCAGGAAGAAACTTTTTCCCCTGCAGGAGCAAATTGGGTTCATGCTTTGTTGGGTTTTTTCTGCCTTCCTCTGGATCAACTGTGGCTGTAGGATTGTAACTTTGTTTGTAATGGTTGAACTGGATGGACTTTTGTCTTTTTTCAGCCAGACTAACTATGAAACATACAGTATCGTCCACGCATGTCCCCACAATAACAGTCCCTCTCTTTTATTCTCACATCTAGAGATCATAGCTGTAGAACACCACAGACAGGTTTGCAAACCTTCCAAGTCTAGTACGGCTTGGTATTATTTTGGTTACCTTGAAACCCAAGCGTTGATACAGTTTATGAGCATTGACCTGAAAAGTTGATGTATCTAGAATGACACGTTTATATCCTCGCTGGCGAGCAAAATCAAAAACTGTCATGCATAGAGCCTTGGCGATCCCTCGGCGTTGCTGGTCTTTAGCCACGGACAAGCGTTGTAGTGACATGTCACTGGTGGAGTTCGGAGCAGGCTGGGCACCCACCATCCCTACAATACGACCGCCAGACTCGACTACCCAGAAGCAGGAGTTGGATCTCCAAATGTAGGACTCTTGAATGTTTAGTAAATCTCCATTGTGACATTTCTTTATCAATTTACGACACGCAAATGTTAAAAGACAGCGAATTGAAATGAAGAATATCCCAACCCCCAACAGAGACAGGAAGTAGGACCGAAAAAACAATTGCAGTATGATGGATGATGCCAGGATGGTGCAATAGACTTGGGGGAGCTTCAACATGTACAAGGTAGTGCCGGGAACGTACTCCATCATTCCTTGGGCAAACAATTCACGAACAGCATAATAATACCCATTGTTGTATTTCTGTATGGAGTAGTCAGCCATTCCCTAGCAGCTCGCCTTGAAGCTAAGTCAAAGGAAAAGGAGAAATAGGATGTCTTATGAATACAAAAGAAACCAGAGAAGAGAGGAGATGAATAAAGAGATACAAAAAGTGGAGTTTAGTAAGATCATAGAATCATTTTTATAACTTCTTTATTGATTTGCAAGAAAAATTATTGAAAGGGGCCTCTTTGGTATTTAAATGTTGTTGTAATAGTGAAAGATTAAAAACAATTGGTAATTCCAATGGAAATTCCAAAGTTACCCATCACAACCTGTAGTGGTGAATGAATAATTGCAGGTCTGCTCTGCCAGTGGTTAGTCACAGTCTCCACAAATTATAATGAGCTGCTGATGACTTACTGGCCCACCTAGGATCTGTACACTTGGAGCACCTAGGATCTGCACACTTGGAGCACCTAGGATCTGTACACTTGAGCACCTAGGATCTGTACACTTGGAGCACCTAGGATCTGTACACTTGGAGCACCTAGGATCTGTACACTTGGAGCACCTAGGATCTGTACACTTGGAGCACCTAGGATCTGTACACTTGGCCCACCTAGGATCTGTACACTTGGCCCACCTAGGATCTGTACACTTGGAGCACCTAGGATCTGTACACTTGGCCCACCTAGGATCTGTACACTTGGAGCACCTAGGATCTGTACACTTGGAGCACCTAGGATCTGTACACTTAGCCCACCTAGGATCTGTACACTTGGAGCACCTAGGATCTGTACTCTTGGAGAACCTAGGATCTGTACACCTAGGATCTGTACACTTGGAGCACCTAGGATCTGTACACTTGGAGCACCTAGGATCTGTACACTTGGAGAACCTAGGATCTGTACACTTGGAGCACCTAGGATCTGTACACTTGGAGCACCTAGGATCTGTACACTTGGAGCACCTAGGATCTGTACACTTGGAGCACCTAGGATCTGTACACTTGGAGCACCTAGGATCTGTACACTTGGAGCACCTAGGATCTGTACACTTGGAGCACCTAGGATCTGTACACTTGGCCCACCTAGGATCTGTACACTTGGAGCACCTAGGATCTGTACACTTGGAGCACCTAGGATCTGTACACTGGAGCACCTAGGATCTGTACACTTGGAGCACCTAGGATCTGTACACTTGGAGCACCTAGGATCTGTACACTTGGAGCACCTAGGATCTGTACACTTGGAGCACCTAGGATCTGTACACTTGGAGCACCTAGGATCTGTACACTTGGAGCACAGGCTGTCCACCCCAAGGGTGCAAGAACCCTAGCTGCAAATAGGAAGCCCCATTGAAGACAGTGGGATGTTGCTAACTCGCACAGCTAACCACGCCCGCTCCAATATAATCTCTGAAACAGTGATCACATTCGAATGATTGGCCCTGGATGCAGGCAGTCAGGATCCAATCAGATTGTTCTCCTGGAGATTATGGGACAAGACCCCCTATCTCTGTAACACTGGCTATTACGGAAGTGATGTGCTAAATAAGTATTTCTCAAACAGGGTGCCATCTGGATTCCCACTGGAGTATGAGGAGCACAGGACCCAGTTTGCCCTGGATGAACATCATGAGTTGCCATGGTGCAGGCAGGCCAGCCACCAGCACCATAGCAACCAATGATACTGTAGGGCCAGGACACACTCTCTCACCTATTGCCCTCTTCATTGTCACTGGAACCCAAAGGTAGGGCTCTAATGTGATTGGGGACTGCGTGATTGGGGTCTCTGTGACAGGGACTGTTTGATTGGGGTGCAGTGTAATAAGGGGGCCTGCGTTACGGTTGTGTTGCATAATAACGGGGCCTGTGTAACTGGGGGGCACTGTGATGGGAGACTGTGTGGCTCGGGGGCTCTGTGGTGATGAGGAAAGTACAATTTGATAGGGAGGCTCTGATGTGATGGGGGCACTCTGATGCGATGGCAGGATTCATGTATAGGGGTCCCTGAGGTGTAGGGATGGCTCTGATGTGATGGAGACTCTCATGTATTGGGGGATTCTGAAGCAATGGAGAGATATGTGATATGATGTGGAACCTCTGATGTTAAAGGGGGTTCCGATGTGATGGGGGGCATCTTTGATGTGATGGGGGGACCTGTGATATGATAGGAGACATCTGATGTGAATGTGAGCTTTCATGTGGAAGGGGACCTCTAATGTGATGGGGAGAATCTATGATGTGATGGGGGGGATCTGTGAAATAATGAGGGATGTCTGATGTGAATGGAGATCTGATATGATGGGGACCTCGATATGATGGAATAATATTTATGTAATGGGGGGATTTGTGAAATGATGGGGGATGTCTGATGTGAAGGGGGACTCTCATGTGATGGGGGGACCTATGATGTGATGGGAGGATCTGTGATATGATGAGGGACATCTGATGTGAAGAGGGGGCTCTCATGTGATGGGGGGACCTCTGATGTGATGGGGGTAATCTGTGGTATAACGGGGGATGTCTGAGGTGAAGAGGGGGCTCTCATGTGATGCAGGACTTCTGGTATGATGGGGGAATCTTTGATGTGATGGGAGGATCGGTGATATGATGAGGGACGTCTGATGTGAAGGGGGGGCTCTCATGTGATGGGGAGACCTCTGATATGATGGGGGAATCTGTGGCATAATGGGGGATGTCTGATGTGAAGGGGGGCTCTCATGTGATTGGGGGACCTCTGATGTGATGGGGGGAATATTTGATGTGATGGGGGGATCTGTGATATGATGGGGGAAGTCTGATGTGATGGGGGATCTGTGATATGATGGGGGTGTCTGATGTGAAGGGGGGTTCTCATGTGATTGGGGGACCTCTGATGTGATGGGGGAATCTATGATGTGATGGGGGATCTGTGATATGATGGGGGATGTGAAGGGGGGCTCTCATGTGATGGGGAAACCTCTGATATGATGGGGGATGTCTGATGCGAAGGGGGGATCTCTCATGATGATGATGGAAGACATGTGATGATATGATGGGGGAATCTTTGATGTGATGGGGAAACCTCTGATATGATGGGGGAAGTCTGATGTGATGGGGGGATCTGTGATATGATGGGGGATGTCTGATGTGAAGGGGGGCTCTCATGTGATGGGGAAACCTCTGATATGATGGGGGAATCTTTGATGTGATGGGGAAACCTCTGATATGATGGGGGAAGTCTGATGTGATGGGGGGATCTGTGATATGATGGGGGATGTCTGATGTGAAGGGGGGCTCTCATGTGATGGGGAAACCTTGATATGATGGGGGAATCTTTGATGTGATGGGGAAACCTCTGATATGATGGGGGAAGTCTGATGTGATGGGGGGATTTGTGATATGATGGGGGATGTCTGATGTGAAGGGGGGCTCTCATGTGATTGGGGAAACCTCTGATATGTGGGGGATGATGGGGAAACCTCTGATATGATTTGAAGGGGGGATGTCTGATGGGGGGATCTTGTGATATGATATGATGGGGGGGATCTGTGATATGTTGGGGAATGTCTGATGTGAAGGGGGGCTCTGATGTGATGGGGGGACCTCTGATGATGTGATGGGGGAATCTATGATGTGATGGGGGGATCTGTGATATGATGGGGGAAGTCTGATGTGAAGGGGGGCTCTCATGTGCTGGGAGACTTCTGATGTGAAGTTACCTTCATAAAGATGGTTGTGTTTATGGTCCCAGGCTCAGGTTTCCCATTGGGAAGTAACATTTACGTTTTGCAAATATAGTATAATGCTATTACATAGGAATTTCTCAGGATCCAACCCTCATGTGTGTTCCTTGTGAATATATAAAAGATGGACCCCCCTCTGGATCTGAAGAGGTCTGCAGTAAGGGGTCGGGAGGCCAGGTTTCAGGGCTGGATTGTGGCATCCACCAATAAAATGGTCAATGGACGGTACGTAGTCATTAGCTATGAATCGGTTAGATGCCAGTTAGGATGATGATGTAGTCGGGTCACACTCACCGCACACTAATACTGCTTTAGCTTTGCTGTTACATCAAACTTTGGGACCTTTTTTTATAAAGATTGAGAAGATGATTCCGAATTCACTGTCTATTTTTATGAGTTTGCCAAGTTTAGATCTAAAGGTCAGCAAATTTAAAAAAGGGAACCAGCTTCTGAAAATGGAGAACAATCCGAAAAGAAAGAAGTTTTGTAACTTCTACTTCTCATGTCCTGTCTCTGTCACGTCAGGACACGGAATTAAAAACTAAAGAAGAAATCCAGCTGTGGCAATTTTTCATGGTTACATCCAGCTTGGACCTTTGTAAATACATAACAGAGATTCTAATCTTTACTACTCTATCCAAAGCTAAAGAGGGATTGACTGGAGTTATGGACGCTCTACTTGCCCACCTCCACAGTTGGCCATCAGCCAGTTGAGCTCTTACCATTTTGTTTGATTGTTACATTCTCCGGGGACCTGTGACCAACCAGGCTCACTAGAACAAAATCTGAACCAGGGCCGGACTGACAACTCATGGGGCCCCTGGGCAATAGGGGATCATGGGGCCCCTGTGTCTTCGCCCAAACTCAAAAAGCCTATGAAAAAGGTACCAGGGGCATCTCATGGGGCCCCCTACTGACCCCGGGCCCTCGGGCAGTGCCCGAGTTTCCCAATGGTCAGTCCGCTCCTGATCTGAACCTATTCAGAGGATGACAACTTATTATGTACTCTAATGTTATAGTGATATCATAGCTCAATGAATATTTATAGAATTTGGGAAAATAGTTGTAGTTGGTAGAAGCTTAAAGTATATCTAATCCCAAAAACAAGAATGTAATATAATCCATTCCTTAGGTGTGGTGGCAGCATTAGTTTTCTTTTCTTAGGCTTTTTTCCATATTTTCACTTGATGATCCAAACAGTAACGCACTTCCCATCGTAGGTTGGTTCCTCAATCTTTGGAGGAGCTACAGAGACAATAGCAGTGTCTGGAGAGGGCAGTGTCATGTGCACTAGCAGATATAGATGGACTTGACAGATTTAAGTCAAACTT